AATTTTCTTGATCCAGGACTCCCATCTTCCTATTGTTTCTCTAGGAAATCAATGAAGAGAGAATGCTACAAGTGTGAGAGCCCATGCTACAGCATCTGTCTATGCCATTTGAGGTCTTTGTGCTACAATCAGCAGCATTACTCATTTTTCCTTGGGCAGTGTTGGTATTAGTCATACACTATGGGCATTCCCCATACTCACCAGGTCAGTTGCTGTTTGTCCATTTTCCTGAAATTCAAGAGATAGCTGGTTATTATCTGCTGCTTCTAGTCTTGATTACCATCCATGATATTAGGTATTGCCTCATTTTCAATATTGATGCTGCCATCCATTTTCAGCACTAGACCTTTCATGCACACCACTTTCAGCATACCTTTCACATTGGTGCCAGCAATGAATTTGCAACAGACTTTGGTATTAGAGGCACAGTTTGATTTGTGCTTGTGGGTGACTTAAATGTGTCTGACCGCCATGGTATTGAATTGCGGAATCATTGGGAGAACAGTCTCACCGGCCTCTGATTCAAGAATTATCTGACACTGAGTCAGAGATTGTGTCTGTTAGTATGGTGTTAACTGAAATGCAGGAGGAATCTGCACCACTGGATCCCATGGTATCTCCTGTTGACTTTCCTTCCTTTTCCATCAGAGGATATTTCTGCTCTCTCTGACATGCTGATTTAACTTCCATAGAGTCTGGACATACCTTTTTGTCAACAAGAACCTTCTGAAAACAGTCTCTGTCTTTTTGGTGCTCTGAGTCCAGAACAATACTCTTTGCCATGCTTGTTTCCTTGATAGAATTTGCAATGAAGATCTATGAAAAGCAGTCATCATTACTAATCTTGAGCATGTGTCTTGAGAACTTACATAGAGTTCAGTAAGAATACCACAAACATTTCTTCCAGTGCTTGAAACCACCTTTTGTCATTGTGGCATCTTCACCAGACAACAAGTCCTTACATCAGATAAGGAAGGAAGGAAACTTGCTTTTACTGGGCTGCAAGACTTACTTGGCAGGGCATTGTCTGTGGAGATTGTGAACCGGCAAGCATACCTTGCAAAATTCCAGATGTTCATGTGGACGCTCTCATGGACCATGTGCTTGATGATGATGCAAAATTAGTTGTGGCTTAGGAAGCCAATAATGGAGTGAGACAGCAGATACTGTAAATATCATTCAAAATACAACTGATTGCTCTGCCAATGCCTTGACAGAAACTGTTACTGTAAGATATCATGCCTGGCTTCAATCTGTCCATCTGTTGCAGGGTGAAATAGATAATGTAGCAGATACGTGCTTCAGCTGTCAGAGTTTCTTTCTATTTAGGGCAGATGAAAAATTAGATGAAGTGCACAAATTAACAGCAGCAAGGAAAAAGGAGTTCCTTCCAATCACTTGCTGATATAAATTACTGGTTTTGGCTAGGATTGCTGTTGTTGCCATCAAGGCACTACAGTTTCCTCCATTCTGCAGCAGTCTTCTTTTAAATATAAACCTCCTACAAATCAGCCATATCAGAAATCTCAAATTACAAATGCAAACTTGCAGATACAGTGGGGTCTTGACTTGAGAACTTAATCCGTATTGGAAGGCGGTTCTCAAATCAAAAAGTTTGCGGGTCAAATCTGCATTTCCCATAGGAATGCATTGAAAACCATTTGATCCGTATCTGCTCTTTTCCGTCCATAGAAACTAATGGGAAGCTGCTATTCCGCCTTCGACCAGTAGAGGGGGATATTTTGTTTCTTTTTTTCTTAGGTCAAGAACGGTTCAGGGAAGGCAGAGAAAATACAGTCCAGGCAGTACCAGGCAGTCTGAAGACTGTCTCCCAATCCACCCTCTAAACGCTGGGAGGAGTGAGGAAGCAGACAGGCCCCCTTTTCACTGGCCAACCGTTAACTGAAAGTTCAAATTTTGTACTTTCTCTGCCTCCCACGTGGTTTTTTTCAGTTTTTTTCAGTTCGTAACTCAAATCTAAGTACGTAAGTCAAGTCAATATTTTCCTATGAGAGCGGTTCGTAAGTCAAAATGTTCGTAACTCGTGCCGTTCTTAAGTCAAGACTCCACTGTACAGTACTTAATCTGACACCTTCATGTACCAGACTGTTTCATTATCTGCAGTCTTGTAACAACGTGGCTACCAATTGATAGATCCTTACTATAGTAGAGTTCAGCCACCTTAACTAGTGCACATATTCTGTTTGACATCCCTATCAGAGGTTCTATTATAAGAGATACAGGTCCTTTCCAACAAAGGAGCCATCAAGTTGGTATCTTGATATCTAAGTTTCATTGGCTTCTTCTTCCAATACTTGATGGTAATGAGAAAAGGTGGAGGATTAAATCCTGTCTTAGACCTTTTGATATATCCATGCATTAGTTAACATTTTTGAATCATTACTGTGTCTAATCTTCTCCTTTGAGGAAAGACTATTGGTTTGTAGCAATAACTGAAGATTACCTATTTCCATAGGTAATTTGCCACTTGCAAATTGGAACCCTTAATTCACCCTAGAGAGACGTATTCCCAAAACGGTGGTGGTAGCAACATACTTGAGAAGACAAATGATCATTGTTTTTGCCTACATTGATGACTGGTTAGGAGTGGCTCATACTGAGTACCATGTTGACTCTGTTGCACAGTTTGGTAAAATATGGAAAAGTCACATATGGTTTAAGACCAAAGAGTATTTTCATAGGACCTAGACTCTTTCTACTAGAGTGCTACCTGTGATACCAGAAGAAGCAGCACAAATGATTGTTGCAATAGCTTAGGGTGTTATCAAACATTGGACATGCTACTTCACATACAGTGGGGTCTTGACTTGAGAACTTAATCCGTATTGGAAGGCGGTTCTCAAGTCAAAAAGTCTGTAAGTCAAGTCTCCATTGACCTACCGTGCATTGAAAACCGATTAATCCCGTAACAGGCCGTTTTTGTTCCGTTTTGGTTTTTTTCTGGTCTGTAAGTCAAATCTCAGTCTGCAAGTCAAACCTAAATTTTGCGGCCAGAGATAGCTGTAACTCAAAAAGTCTGTAAGTCAAGCCGTCTGTAAGTCAAGGGTCCACTGTACTGATGTTACTTGGTGTGGTGGCCTCTAGACCGTTAGACCTTTGCTTTGCCAGTTTGTACACAAGACCCCTGCAGTCTTGGCTTCTGATTAATTTCAATTCTGTCTTCAACACCAGATAAATGTGACTGATAAACTCTGCTCATATGTTCAGAGTCTTGCTGTGCCCTTTGTGGTGGACCAGGGGAGAAAATATATTCCAAGAAATGTTCCAACACTATTGTGGTGTCAATGGATATTTCCAGTAAGGAGAGTCCACTCTCTATTACATCCAAGGCTGTTGGAGAACAAGGGAAGTTATGTCTTATGAAAACTTTTGGGAACTTTTGGCAGTATTCAAGTTTTGCAAGGCTTTTTGACCCCTTGACTGTTGTCAGAGCTTTCAGTGTTTTTGAAATCTTCAGGATAGTTGGACTGTCTCTAGATGATTATTGAGAGCTTATACATCAGTAAATGCCAGTGGCCTTGGTAATTTTCTCTCCTTTTCAGCATGTTGATGACCACGTTGTTTCTTGTAATCTGTTCATTAAAACATGTATGAAAATTTTCTTGAAATTGTATTCTCCTTATAGAACTACTTCACCTTGGTAGGAATACAGCAGCACTTAGCTTAGATGTCTTTGTGTGTGTGTGTAATTTGGTTTCTGTATTGTGACTGAACCAACATACTGATGTTTTCTCCTAATTCCTCCTTCTGGTTGTAGAGGTTGTTGCATCCCTTGAATGGATGGTGTGCTTTAACTTTTGTTACTGACAGGATAGTAGTTTTCAAATATGCCTCTTCCTTTGTTACATAGTCCCAGTTTTCAGCCTGTAGTTCTCTTACTAAATTTTGTTAGCCACACAAACTAGTTAGATGTCCTGTGTCAGTATCTTCAAAAGTATTCCTTCACTTAGGTCCATCACATCCTGTACAGAACCTTCAAAAATTTAAAGAAAAGAAAAAAAGAAATGCTTAGAAAATTATGTTGTGCTCTCTAAGATGTATAAGAGCAATTTTGCTATGGTTTCAGGGTAGATTGTTAGTTAAGTTTGTTGTCCAGTAGAGGGTGCAAGAAGCTTTTCAGTCAATTTTTCCCTGGTTAAACAGGTTTTTCAGTTAAAAAACCCACTGTAGAGACTTTCACGATATTAAATAAATAAATATACAAATATACAAATTAGACATTTGATACACCTCTCTTGCCTTAGCCCTTCTGACTATATGCTTTTATGCAGGCTCTTTCACATTGGCTCATAAAGATTTTGCAACTATCCACACATCACAACAGAGGTGTAGAGATGGTTATGAACTATGCTCCTGTGCTTCGGCCTGGTTTGGTGCTGCACCTGCACGAGTGTTCTGCAGGTGCTGTGTGCTTCCCTTCCCCACTTCCTCTGCACACTCGCCCACTCACTGGCAGAAGTACACTTCCCTCCTCTGCCTCCTCAGGTGATCTCCCACTCAAACGAGGAGGCGGGGCAGGGAAGCCCATGCTGCTGGCCAGTGACTGGGTTATTGTGCAGAGGAGGGAAGCGTGCTTCTGCCAGTGAATGAATAATTGCACAAGGAGACAGGGGAGAGAAGTGTGTGGTGCCCATAGAACACCTGTGCAGGCTCCACACCAAACCATGGATGTGTGTTTCATGCCCATCTCTACAGGTGAACAAAACCACAAACCTTGGATTGACTGTGGACTTAAGGTTTCAGATACAATCCCCAGTTCTAAATAAAATTTTAAAATCATTTCTGTGTACGTGTAAACACATACGGATGCATTCCTCATACTCTGTTGGGAGTCAGTTTTATCACATTTTGCCTTCCCCTGAATTGTTTTAGGCCCAGGCATTTCTGTTTTGAAAACCAGAAGTGACTACTTGTTCATGGTCTGATTAAAAGGAGGCAATAATGTGTTAATGATCTTTTCCTTTATTCTGTTCTGTCAGGTGGCAGCTCCACAGAGAACGACTGTGCTTTTGAATCAGAGTATGCTATCCCAACACTCCCAGTGCCCGAAGGTATGCAGCACATTCGGATTATGGAAGGCATGTCCCGCTCTCTCCCATCCTCCCCATTACTAACACACCAGTCTATCAGTGTTCGACTCCAGCCCATGAAGAAATTAACTGGTAAGGAAGTTACACAAGTTTAGTAAGTTTGGAATGTTGAATAAAGCTTGTTTCCCACACTGCACATCACCCCAAACCCTATATTTTTACAGTGTCCCACTGATAATTCAATTGCTTGCCATCAAGTAAATTGATTAAATTGGATTTGATTTTACTTGGACTGCACACATAATTTATGTTAGGATTTTCTGTGAGCAGGAGAATAACAAAAAGGAAAAAAAGGCTCTAGAGGTGTTATATACCACACTTCTCTTTCTGTGCTGTTCACATTACTAATGTTATCAATAAAAAGAACTTAGCTGTCAGTGGTTCTCATTGAATTCTGTGGAACAAAGTGGTGGGCTTCCTTCTGGAATATAACCAAGGGGACTGAATCTCGTTTAGGAAAGAGTCCAAATTTCATCTCCTTGAGTTTATTCTCTTTTTTCTCCCACATAAACAGGTGGCTATCATTCACAATTGTTTGATAGAACATTTTGATGAGACCCCAAACTGCATATCACCCCTAATACTAATTTTGATAGCCACAAATGGCAAGATTCTTCATGGGAAGCAGGACTGTTTTCACTTCCAGTGAGGGTACCGTGTTTCCCTGAAAATAAGACAGGGTCATATTAATTTGCTACAAAAATGCATTAGGAGGGCTTAATTTCAAGGGATGTTTTTTTTTCGTATACAACAATCTACATGTATTCAAATACAGTCATGTCATCATCTTCTGGTTGCTGCACAGTGGTGGAGGGCAGGGTTTCACTTAAGTAGGGATTATTTTGGGGGTAGGGCTTATATTACAAGCATCCTGAAAAATCATACTATGGCTTATTTTCAGATTGGGTCTTATTTTCAGGGAAACAGGGTGGTAGTGAAGGAGCAATATATTTTTGATGCGCCTTCTCCCATTGAAGAAATGGGTGAAAAGCATTTGTGAGAGAGGTAGTTTTTACTCACAATAAAGTTTCAGATTCTCTGACAATACTGTACAGTGGTGCCTCGCACAACGAGTGCCTCACACAACGATAAATTCACACAACGATGGCTTTTTCTGAAAAATTTGCCGCCTCACACAATGATGTTTCCTATGGGGAATTTTCACACAATGATGTCTCTTTTCACTCATTTAAAAGTGCCTTAAACTGTTTGAAACCTGTTTTAAATGCTTGGCATCGATAGTCCAGCTTGTGAAACATATGCAAACTTAATTTGGTGTTGTTCTGAGGCGTTGTTAATTTTTGGTGAATTTTTTTCTCTCTCATTGAGAAGCATTGAATGGTCCGTCCAATGGCTTTCAATGGAGAATAAAAAAATTCACCAAAAATAACGAAAACTCAGAACAACACCAAATTAAGTTTGCATAGGTTTCAGGAGGTGGGCTAACGATTGCAAACATTTAAAACAGGTTTCAAACAGTTTAAGACACTTTTACAGGAGCGAAAAGGGACTTTGCAAACCCATTCAAATGCATTGAGTCGGCTTCAATGCATTTCAATTGGGGAACCGCGTTTCCCTCAAAGATGTTTCCTATGCCGATTTTCACTTAAGGACGGCAATCCGTTCCAATTGGAATGGATTAACCGGTTTTCAATGCATTCCTATGGGAAATGGTGTTTCACAGAATGATGTTTTCACAGAACGTTTTTTTTTAAAACCAATTAACATCGTTGTGCGAGGCACCACTGTATATGTTTTTGCCTTCTCCTTGGCTTGGTAGCCATATTTGGTGTATAGGAACAGGCGAGGACCATATATGGGAAAGCACTTCTGACCTTATTCTTTGCTCTGTCTGAGGCAATGACTTCAGTTATGCTAACTGCAGAGTCTGGTTAAAATAGGGACAAGAATTGTCAATTTTTTTGCCATCACTTATCAAACAACACAGCCTGAGTTAGTTGTTAACAATTATGGTTGTCATCTGATTCTAATCTTCCATAATTTTTTATATTAATAAATAACTCTTCAGAGGAACAAATCTTTATTTTTAGATTATGTGTGAGCTCCTCCACAGTGCTTTCATTTAAAAAAAATGACAAGTAGTAATATTAATAACATTGCAAAAGGTTGCTGATATATTCTCAAAGGCTTTCATGGCCAGGATCTGATGATCCTAACGACACCCATCAATCATAGGGATAGTTAATCTCCCTCCTCATCACAACAATACACCCTAACAAAAATACACCCTGATCACAATAATCACCCAATATCCTGAAAAGAACAAAAAAACTGATTCCATAGCTACAAATACTCAACAATCTCACACATTACACCAGAACACAGACAGAATTTTAGTTCCTGTCCTCTGAAGATGCTGGCCACAGAGACTGTCTGTAACATTAGGAAGAAAAACCTCCAGAACATGGCCAAACAGCCTGAAAAACCTACAACAAGCATTGGTGATATACTTTATGTAATGCTGTCCATACCAGGATGTAATGTCCAAATATTGAGGATTCTCATGTAGACCCAGTAGACTGTTGCAGATTTATACTGTGTGTCTTGGTTCATAGTTTTTAAGCAGATCTCAGAATCTTGTTTGTGAGCTTGTCCTTGTACCAGACTTCCTCACTAAGCACCACAACCTTCACAGACACACCTGTCTTATCCTTACTTTATATTATTTATTGGGTTATTGTGATTTTCTGCAGGAATATGCAGAAAAGCCAGCTGACAGAGCACTAGTTTCTTCTAGAAGTATGGTGAGCTGCTATGGATAGGAAAAAGCTCTTTCTTTGTCTTTTACCTCAGCAGGCTACTAATTTGGGGGAAGGGGCAAGCTAGTGACCTCTGTGGATTCATTTACAAAACTGAATTAATCCTAACTGATTTATCAACAATAATTTGCATCCAGTACACAGTGGGAGTAGTAGCCATACTCTGAAATATTCTCATAGGAGTTCTCAGAGATCTGGTTCCTCACCCTCCTGCACTGTGTGCACAAACTCCATGTTGTTGCTTGTACCTCCCACATTGCCCCCATATTCAGCTTCCCTGCTTCAATTACTTAAGGTGGGATACAACAACCAAGTGAGGTAGGCGGAACTAAGAGAGAATGACTACTGCAAGTTCATCCTGTGAGCTTTATGGGTGAATAAGAATTGGAAGCCGAGGTTCCCAAGTTCTAGCTTAGTTCTCTAACTGCTGTGCTGGACTGACTGTTGATAGAACTGTTTCTGGTGTGGATCCTTTTACATAGAGGTATCACATATGCATGAACTGGGTCTAGCCCTTTATTCTTTTAAATTTGCCGATGTTGCATTTAGACAGCATGTTTGTATTTTATTTTATTTTTGTACATATCACAAGATAAAGTGTAAGTTGATACTTAGCAATTGAAGCTAGATTTTTTTTAAGCTGTTGAACGAATTTTGTGTGAACATTAAGGTGTAATACAGTTAAAGGATAATGTGTTTTGCATATTTTGTGACTAATATGTAAAGTTTAATTGCTATAGTTTGTCTTTCTGACTTATATTGAATATAAATAGTTTTTATCAAAATTTGACCTGCTTCTGTTTATTTTACATTTGTATCCCACATTCTCCCAGGGAACTCAACCTAGTGTATATGATTTGTCACTTCTACCCTAGCTTACCTTTATAACATTGTATCAGTTAGGTTAATTTGGAGAGAGTGAGTGAATGAATCCTAGAGTCTCATGGTGGAATGGAGGTTACAGACCTGATCTTTCTTGTCCTGGTATGTCGCCCCTATATCAGACAAAAGAAGGACTGAAAAAGCACTACCAGTGTGAGTTTAATTCTGAAAGTAAAAGTTTAAGAAAAGGGAGGCCATTTTTAAGCCCTCTTTCCCTGAGCAATCCTTTTCCTAATTTAAAAAAAGTGTGAATTGCCATTTCTGATACACTCCAGGAGTCTTCCTTAAAGCCATAGGACACTTCTGTATGAATCAATAGCAAAAATACTCATTTCTCAAAGCCAGAAATGAATTTCAAACTATTTCCAGTTGTGGTTTTTGCTGTTCTTGAGATTTTCAGCGGTCTTTGTGAGTTACCCATCCCTTGCTTAGTATGTGCAATACATAAATCTGTTGAGGACTGTCACCCAACTGTTGTTTTTGGTTTTGCTTTTGTTTCTTGTTTTTTTAAGGCTTAGACAAAAGGATGAGCTGTAGCTAGTCTTTTGCTCAGATATACTCCATATTAAAATGTAGCTGGAATTTACTGAAGAATGGAAATGGGTGGAAAATCCTGAAAACTCTCTCTCTCTCTACATTAATTTTCCTGCGCAGTCTTTTGTCACAGTGTTTTTGAAAAAAAAGTGGTGATGGCAGAGCTGTAATTAACAATTTTGGTACCTGGGAATTTGCTGCCTGATTGATTAATCAGGTCATGTGAGATAAGCATATGTGAAGAGAGGACAGAGGAGGAATGTGTGGGTTGGAGAATGCAACAACCATATTGGTTCTGTGTATTGCCTTTTTTTATGCTTGGGGAGAAGTAGCTAGAGGCAGTTTCTGTACTCCGGGTGGGCAAGCTCATGCAAAAATTTGTGTCCTCTAAATGTCACTGTCCAGTGTCACAGCCCCATTCAGCCTACCCTTGTTACAGTTTTGAGTGGTGGCACTCCTCCTGTTAGGCTCTTCTCTCTTTCCCTGTCTTAAATCTCTTCGGAGCAGCTCTCTATAATGAAATAACGATGTTCTTAGGCAAATTGGGAGGTGGGGGTGCTGCTGGCATCTGAGTGAGAGTTAGATGGCAAGATTCTGATTTTTCCCCCTTTTGCCTCCACGTAACATAATCCCTGGTGTGTTATACAGATAAGAAGGGGATTGTTTCAGTTTAGTCATACAGTTTCTTCACCTCTTTCAGAAATAGGAGGGGTGTGTGGTTTAGCCTAGCCATATAATTCTGCCTTGAGTTACAATAAAGTAATG